CAGTTTCTTGGCTAGGATTAGGACTTGAACACTATTATCTGGGGAATTTATCCTGCCTACCACAGAATATCAAATAGAATCAAAGTATTGAAAACATGTTGAATGATATATTAGCCTCAGGAGATCATGGACTTTTATATTTATATTCATAAAATAATATGGCTCAGTGAGTAAGAGGTCTTACTACATCTAGCTTTAATGTTTTTAAAGTAAAAGATTTATTTACTTTACTTTGTACATATGAGTGTTCCGCTTGCATGCATGTATTTGTACTGTGTCTGTTACGGATACCCAAAGATGGCAGAAGAAGGCATTGGATCTCTTGGGACTGGAGGTACAGATGCTTATAAGCTTCCATGTGGATGCTAGGAAACAAGCCTGAGTCTTCTGCATGAATAGCAAATGCTGTTAACTGTTTAGCCATCCCTCTCATCACCCAGATTTATTTATTTATTAAGTTAAGACATTTGCTCTTCTTGAGGCCTGGGTCTTATTTTTTTAGGATCTGTATATGGCTGTAAAATTCAATTCTCTGGTTAAATCAGTTTCAAAGGCTTACATACATAACACTCTATACACAATATTTTGACCTGAAAATACAGCACATTCATGTAGTTAGATACATCAGAGTAAATTCTTTGTCCTTATTCAAGTTATATTCACAGGGAAGAAATAAAAATGGATCATCAACACACAGACTTTGTTGAATGGTAGTGTCTCAAGGTAAATCTTGGACAGGGTTAGACAGTAGTGGGTCAGCAGGGGGTTTTCTAGGAGCATGAGATACTTAGGCAGCTATCTGAAGATGATGAAGAAGGGTTGGGTCATGGAGATATGTAGTGAGAGCTTGACAGCCTTGAGTTTCATATGAGTGTTAGCAGAGCAATAAGAATAAAGTCAGAGAACTAAAGGAATCAAATGTGTATGTGTGTAGACTCTTTTAAACCCTTGAGGTTTTCCCCTGAATGACATGGAAAGGTGGTAAAAGAAAAATAACATGACTTGATTCTCATGTGTCAGAGAGACTTTGATTACTGTGTGGAGAACAATGAGAAAGAAATAGACAGCTGGGACCAGAGTGGTAGCAGTCATGTGGTGAGAACGGCAGGATTCTGGGTATGCTTTGAAAGCAGACACAGTAGGATAATCTGGCTTGTGAGGGAAACAAGGATGTGGAGATGTTGGGCCCAGACAGCAGGATGGAAGTGCATTTAACTGAGATGTGGAAAGTTTTGAAGGAACAGCTGTGTGTATGGATCAGCAGGAATTTGCCTTCGGAATGTGGTGTCTGAGATTCGAAGTGGAGATGTCAAGTGGACAGTTGGTTAATGATTATGGAAGCCCAGGATTGTTGGGTAAGTCATCACTTTGGAAGTCACACAAACACAAAGCTAGTCGGTATAATTAAAGTACTGAGTGTAAACAGAGAAGCAAAGAGATCTATGCATTGAAATAAGGAACCACCTCCCCCCCAAACTTTGAGAAGTGACTGGTCCACAGGAAGAAGCTGTTTCAAGGACATTCAATAATCAACTAAACATACATTCTGCTGATGGGTTGAGCTCCGGATTGGATGTTAGATTTGCCACCATGTGGTTATTACTGATCCTGTTGAGATCAGTTCTAGTATAGCAGTGGGGGGAAGAGTTGTTTTTCCTTGAGTATAAGGGAGACTAAAAACAGGGAGAGTAAATAACAAATGCCTTGCTTATACCTACTGTCTCTCAGACAGTGGTAGACCTCTCATTCTTGAAAGTGTTCTGGTTCGGATATTGACTCCCTCATTATTTCTATGAGAATTCGAATGGGAAGATCTATATGAAGTACAAAGCAAAACTGAAGCATAGGAAGTTTGGTATGGTGGTGCATAGATACGATCCCAGCATGTTGGAGATTTAGATAGGAAGATCATAATCTGGAGCCAGCCTTTGCTACATAGTGAGTCCTCATCTGAAAAATAGAAAACAATGCAAAACCCACAACAGTCACAAAAATCATGAGAAAGAATACAGAGTATTTGTGCTGTGGAACCATAAGCTGATGAAATGGAAACAGAGGGGATATTTTGGGAATGATGGTGTCAGAAAGATGGTGGGGGGGGGATAGTGAGATAAGGTTTAGCTCTCTGCTCTGTTGAGTGGGAAGACAGAATGTACAGTGCTCTATTTCTTGGGTTGTATTTTCGTTGGTGATTTATTTGTTTGTTTTCCACACATGGTGAACCTCTTAAGAGCAGTAAGTATAAATGTCTTGTTCATTTTGTAGTAGGGGTTTTATTGTTCTATTTCTATTCCCTAGTACAATGCCTGAAACACAGCAGGCTGCAATAAATGTCTGAACCAGAGAATGAAGACATTGTGTTCAGCATGTGTCTGTTTTGTCTCATTCAAGTTGGATTATTTCCATCAGAATCTTGACAACCAGATTGATTTAACTGCGTTTCTCCTGCTTGGCTCTAGAGAATGCTTGACTAACTGGTAGGCTTGATTGACAGATATGATTGTGTTTCTACCCAAATCAATGGTGCTGCCTAAATGTTAAGTCGGTGACCCTTGTTATGTCACATTGGGGTACTCCCTGTTACAGATGCAGTATCAATTTATCATTTACTTGCCAGAGACTTTCTAAAAACCTCATCTTACCTCAGTGTCCTACTGATATTTGTAGTTTACTGTTTGTACGTTACCTATTGCTAGTTGTCATTCACTTCTAATTACTTAGAAGGTCTTTGAGAATGGCCATTACACAGACATTGCTTTTTCTATGTTCTGCTCCTTTGATTAGGTAGACAGCATGTGCTCCAGAGTATAAAGCGAAAAATGCTTAATCTTGGATCTGGTGTAAAAATAGTGCCAAATAAACAGTCCCGTGATTGAATGAATGCATAATGAATAGTTACTAGTGGTCTCTGGTGGACGCTTCCAGTGCCCAGGCTCTGTCTTCTCTTTCATTCGGTGTGCACAGCTCCTGTCTTTTTGCTTGCTTGCTTTTTATTCTCTTATTCTGCTTCCCTCACTCCTTTGTAAGCCATCTCCGCCTGTAAGAGCCTTTACAATTAGTGTGCATTTATTCACTTCGTTTTCAATTTTATTAATGTTTGATTAATTTCGAGAGTGTCATGCTCTATCCCCGTTACTATATCCTTGCAACTTTACCCCCCCCCTCTTTTTTCTTTAATTTAGCAACTCATCTATCCATAGCCCCTCACGAACCTCTTTCCGTTCCACTCTGGATTGTTCCCTGCTTTGATCTTGGACAAGTAAACATGGTTTCTGTGAGTTCATGGGTGCAGTGAGTCTCTCTCATGTGCTGAAGGCATGGTTTTGAGAGCCTCTCTTTCTAAATCAACCGTGTTCTCATCTTCTCCGAGGGACTGTTTTTTGAGAACTTTGTATAAAGGCATTCATGTCTGTAAAAAGTTGATGTAGTGGCAGGGTACCTCCTGCCTCTCACAGCGACAGGTTCTACTGCTGTATGTACATGGTCTGTCCCAAAAGCTTTTGGTTTTATACCATTTCCAGTCAAGACTGTTGATAGCTATCAACTAAATTTGCCACTCGATTTTGCTGATAGGGAGTAAGTAGTTTGCAATTTAAGTAAACAATTGCTATTGAATTTAGTGGGTACCTTATTGGATTACGTGTCTTTCCAACATGATGTCAAAATTTATTTTCCTTGTAACTACCCTATACTTTCTGATTATACATCTCTGTTCTCTCTTAGTCTGGGCTAATAGAGAGTTAATTGTATAATCAATTTTTACATTAAAACTGAATACAGCTTTTTTTGTTTTATTGTTGAAAATAAATATCCATTTTGGTATATTGAGTAAACCACTTATTTTTTGCAGTGATTTAAGAAGAACACAGACTCCCTTATTTGTAAAATGGGATTGGAGGTAATGTGTTTTAGAACTGAAAAGCACTTTATCAACTAGCTGGTGGCCAATACCATCACTTTATAAATAAGACCCAAAGAGGTTAAATGATTTTGTTCAGTATCCCCCCAGCTTGTTTAGTGGTAGAGTAGGACTGAAATCCAAGTCCCATGCTGCAGTCATTTCTACTGCTGCATGAAATGCATGTTTCTTATTCACAGAATTGATATGAGGATTAGGGACCACATCTGTGAAAAATAGATTTAGCCTTTGGAAGGAGAGATGCTGGATTGCTTTATGAAAGCTTTACAGAAACTAATCTCATTTTAACCTTTTCTATAGGATTGTTGGCTTTGTTCAGTTTTATGTTTCTCACTTTGGGACTTTTCTTTTTTTTTATTTTGGCCAAGGACTAGATAATTTATGATGCTTGTTTTAGGAATCAATAATAAGTGCCCAGATTGTGTTAAAAATATGAATTACATCAGCTGGTTTTGAATCTAGGAGCAGGTGCAGACAGCTTTCCCAAGTGGTGGTTGCTTATGTACATGAAAAGTTTTCTGTTCTTACTTTATGAATTTGGAATAAAAACAGTTGATTTCAAAGGCACAAGAATAAGAAAAAGGAAGCATAAGTAAGATATATGTACACATACACACAGCACACACACACAGACACACACAGACACACACACACACACACACACACACACACACACACACACACACATTTCCAATCTGGTAATTCTTCCAAAGCTCGATGCAGCATGTCATAACAGACCATGAGTTTTCTCTCTTGCTGAGCCAGGGATCCATTATACTAATCCACCATGGATTATATCTCTAGCAAGCACATGGAAGTGATAACTTAGAATACTTATTTTGATGCAAGGTGTATAAATCGTTTCCATGTCATCCTGGAAAGTGAGTAAACTGTGACTTGCTCTACTTGGCCACATCAATTGTTTCAATTTGGCTCTTTGGTCGCACTGTGCTTTGATATATAAACAAGAACACTGTTTAATTTTTATACTATCCAAAGTGATTTGTGCAGATTCATATGTTCAGGGAAAAAACTCGTGTACCGCAAGGCTAAAGTAACTTTTATATATATTTTTAATTAGGTCCGATTATATGCAAGACCCGACGCTATCAGAAGAGGATCCGGGGACTATGCTCTCCACATTACAAAGAGATTAATAGAATTTTATGAAGACTACTTTAAAGTGCCCTATTCTTTGCCAAAACTAGGTAAGAATTTCTTGATTATTTTATTGGAAGGACTCCTAGAAGGTGGAATTTCTTCTCATCACTTGTTGAAGCATCCAGCGGCATAAAAATTCAAAGATTTATATTTTTAGAGATGAGGAGTACAAAAATAATTTCTTATTAAGAGTTAAAATAAGATTTATGACCTGGAGTCTTGCCTGTAAGTGCTCATGCGAATTATGGAAGGTGTTGCATGAGTCAGAGTTAAAAAAAAACCCTAAATAGTTACAATTTGTTAAATACATCCTATAGAAAGATGCTTGCAAAAAAATTCAAGCTTAATAACTACAATGACCATGTGGGGGGATGAAATTAGAGCTCATTCCTAATAAGGGCATTGAAGGTGTTTTCTAGCATTGAGACACCCAGGTCCTTATGACTCTTACAAGTAGGTAATATTGTACACAGAGCTAACACAGATAGCCTTTCTCTCTCCAAATTGGTATATGTCAGATCTTAATGAATTGACTTTCCTTTAGATTATTTTTTTTAAGATTGTATTTGTAGTACATAGTTAAGCTAATAAAAAATCAACAGAAGAGAAACTGGTAATAATGAAAATTGTTATAATAATGGAATGTTCTTGTGCATATTCCTTTTGCAGGGCAAATGTGTTCAGTAATTGTTGGTCCTGTGAATAAACACATTAATGTATTATTCTAATTTGAATGAGGCTGTGCTTTTGGCAGGAAATGAGCTAGAACATTCCAGGACATTATAAAGGGTGCACATAGGCATTAGAAGTGTTGAAGTTACTTTGCCTTTTCAGAAGGGATGTGACATCATAACAGCGCTTTGTTTCCCATTCATGTCCCTGTCATCAATTTTCTTCTCAAGTGTTGTTTTCTTTTCTTTTTTTTTTTTTGCCAGAATCCACATAATATACATTTTTTTTTGGTTGGAAAGAATAAAGTGTTTATTTGATCAAAAATGTGAGTTTGAACTACAGGTTCACCTCCCTGGGGAACTGGGCCTATTTCATTAAGGTACTTGCCTGCTGAGTATCTTTATTAGTCATACAATGGGTAGTTGAGAAAGTAGATGGTAAGTTGATGTTGTCATCTATGGGCACGACATTTCATTTTAATGAAATGTATTGCCAGATTGTGAGGTCTTTCATAAATATTTACCCTGTATTTACAAACAGAACTGTATTTCAAATCGGATCTGTACCCTGTCCCTTTTTTTTTTTTTTAAAAAAAAAATCTACCTACTTTTAGAATCTGCTTCACTGGAATCTCACTTGTAGTCACCCAAGGCAGGAAAGACTGCCTGACCTTATTTGCATGGGATGTGGTGCTGTTATCTACACCAGGTAACTGGGAACTTCCCAGCTTGACCCTAATGTAAAATTCAGGAGTGCTTGTGTTGCAAGTTTAGCAAGAGAAATAGAATGTGGATCTTTCCCTGTCCCCTTCAGACCAGTAATTAGCAGAGGAACTCAATTTATAACTTCAGGGGGTTCCATGTAACTGTCAGCTTGCAGCGGGATTCATTTCTGCTTCCCCATTCCACTCACAATTGAACCATGCAGGCTTTTATCTGGAGGAAAGAAAAAGTTTTATTCACCGTTGCTCCTACTTGTTAAGCTACCTTATGGTGTATATAATTGAATGATTTGACTTGCCCCGGTATACTCCTTTTTATATATCGAGGGGAGTTTCCACAACTCAGGGTGCTTTATGAAATTTCTTGCAAAAGGTCTACTTTTTTCTCTACGTCTGTAGATGCTAATGGATTCGTAAGTACACCCTCTAAATATGCCTTCCATGAGAATCTCCAGTCACAGAATCATTTTTGACAAACCCTCACCTTCTATCCTATATTATGAATTATACTTTAAGTAAATTTTATTTCCGTGAACTTGGCCCATGTTAATGACGCCTGTAGATGTATTCTAGATTTTATCGGAGACTGTTTCGACCCTTCAGATTTATCAAAAATTGTTTCTGAGGCCCATTATACCCTTCTTTCCTTCCCTCATACACTCTGTATGCATTTAGTAAGAGTCATAGACTTTTTTTTTTTTCATATGATGAAACTACTATAGTGACTAAAATAAGCAAAACTCCTTTCTCTCCTAGAAATTTCATTCTACCAAGTGCGGATGGACAGAAAGCCAAATAGTAATAAATGCAGCTTATCATTCGGAGATGATCATTTAAATAGATAGCTAACCTGCTGGGTACATTGGCACCCTCCAGTGATTCCAGCATGAAAGAGGCTGAAGCAGGAGGATGAGAAGTTTGAAGCCACCTGGGCTATGTTGTGATACCTGGTTTATGTCAATCAATCAATCAATCAATCAATCAGTCAATATTAATAAATAACCGGAACAGAAGTTTGGGTAGTATTTGAGGGCTAGATATGGCATACATGAGAGGCTGAAATCTTTAAGAATTAATGAATTAATTATACCTTTTCACATGGAAGTATTTATTTGGAAGTGCTTAGATGTCTGTTTAAGACACTGAAAAAGTGAGTCCATTGGACATCATGTGGCACGAGTTACGATCAGAGGGACCAAAGTACCTAGAGTTTGAACTTCGAGGTTTATGGTGTGTTTGAAGTAGCAAAGAGGCAAGCAGTCATACAAGAAAGTGAGGAAATGGCTGGGCATTCAGCTCTCAGTGCAGTAGAATGGAAGATAATACAGATCCAGGAGGCTGTGATAAGCTGGCCTTCCCCTCTCCCAACTCTTTGAGAGTCCAAGCAGATCTAGAGCACACCATATAGTCAAGGCAGTGTCCAGTCTCACTGTGATTCTTGTCCTCAATATCCCAAGTCCTAAGGTTGCAGGCATAAGTCGCTATGCGAGGCGTGGGCTTTTATTTATTTATTTATTTATTTATTTATTTATTTATTTATTTATTTATTTAAGCCATTTTGCTCTGTTCTACTTTTCAATATATTATTTCTATATTATCTCAATATATTATTTCACTTCTGTTCTGATTTATTTCTAATGCTGGACAGTTTCACTTTGTTGACTATGGCGCAGCTCATGAGAGCTAAGAGATCTAAGAATTTGAGGTTTCACCTCAAGTAGCTTATGGGAAAGATCCTTGAGAGGAACTCTAGTGCTTCTTGTTAGGTTAGGATGCCAGTTTAGTCGCCTTGATCAACAAAGCTATTTATTTATCATTTTTAAGCCAACATAAGCCAAAAGTGTGCACAGTATGATTTGTTTTAAGATATCTAAATCGAGCAACTAAAACCGTTTGTATGAGGCATGCACTTTTTACTTCTTGGTACTAACGTATGCAGCAGAGTATGCTTGGTTATGATACAACAACACTTTTTATATCTGTGCATCCTATTTTAGTGAGCACTTGAAGTGTTCTTTATAAAGAACATTATAGACACATATATTATATATTTACTCTATACACAATTACGTATTATATAATTAAGCTATCTTTCATATTACAGACAGATCATATGAATCACAACAAAATGGCAACTGTGTTTATATTTATGAAATGTGAGTTATTCAAAAGAGCTTTTCATGTTTTTACCCATTTAGTTATTATCATGACCTTTTGAAGTAGTATTTATCATTTTCTAATTTTCCAGAGGAAGAAATTTAGGGATTTGGTAACAGAATAATACAAATAGATGATGTAAATAATAATGAATGAATTAAGAATTCAAATTCAGGCTATGTGACACTATGACACTGGATTTCTGTTAAAAACAGCTTTTAAGAATTTTTCAGAACTCATGAATTAAAGTATACATCACTTTAATAAAATACATTATCCATTAGTGGAATAATATATTAACTATTTTTGCTAATTTCTTCTTGGTAAAAGTAATACTCCATAGCCATTGCAAGAAACATGAAACAAAAATCTGAAGAAACAAGTTTGAAAAATCACATCATCAATACCGTGAAGACATACTCAACTCTTACAAACACGTTTTCATCATAGATGTTTATAAGTTAATTAGATGGCAGATCAAATGACTGGCACAATATTTTGGTACTCACCCTATTTAGGCTTCAATTAATTATGGTGAAGTCTTCTGTTTCCCCTTGCTGCTGCTCTGTAATTTGTAAATCGATGTTTCGTAAAGGAGTTTGCTTGATTGCCTTTATGGGGAATTCATTACCTGCCCGGCACGGAATGTGATTGTACAGGGAGCACGGGTGTTTTGCCACAAGATTTTCTATCCTTAAAAAGATTGTGGATATGTTGAGGAGAGAATACAGTATTTACGGGGGTGAGAGTAAATTTGATATCCACAAGGCATAAAATATAATCCAGCACTTTAGTCTTAAAAGGTAATATTTGATACCACTTTAAATGAATAGTGTGAATTCTGTGTTACAGCCATGGAGGTTCTTATAGAGAAGCCTCTTCTTCATGAGAATCCAGAGGAGAGTGGTGGGTAAGAAAAGAGAAGGATCATTCTGAGGATTGTGTAAGGCAGGTGCCCATGCGTACCTGGGAGTCTGTAAACTACACCCACGAGAACACATTTTCTGGACTGGAATAAATAAGTAGTAGGATAAATTTTAATAGAGTTCAGGAACAAGATATTCTGGTTTGAATGATAGGTTTTTGTTTACATGATAATGGATATACCTAATTTTTCTATTTGTGTGTGTGTGTGTGTGTGTGTGTGTGTGTGTTTGTGCATGTACACACAGTGATAATATATGTGGGGGCCAGGGGTCAATCTCAGGCATGGTTTCTTGGTAACTCTACACCCTGATTTTGAGACAGAGAACTTGCCTAATGATTCTCTCCTATTAAAACATCTGCTTATTCAGGAGCTTGATGCCCCCCAGTTCAGCCAGGCTTGCCAGTAAGCCTCAGGGATCTGTTTGTCTTCACCTTCCCAGCACTCTGAGTACAGATACTCATATCACCACAGCTGGCTTGTTTTTTTCCCACATGGGTCTGGGGCTCTAGTTCAGATCTTCATATTTAAATGCAGTCTTTTTGTCTATTGAGCTATTTTTTCTATATATT